GGTGCCTGGGGGGCTCCTGCGGCGGTTCTCCGCGCCTTGCGTCCGCCCCCGCGGTCGTGCCTCTCTGGTCCGCGCTGTGACCCGCCGGCATCGGCCGGCATCCCGAGCCCCGCAGCACCCTCTCGCACTCCGAGGCCGCCCGCTCCAAGCTATGACTTCTCCTAAGCGTTGCGTAGCCAGCCTCCGCTCGAGTCCTTGGGACGTTTCCGTGACAATTTTTGCAGACCTTGCCGTACTGAAAGACAGCTCCATGTGCTCACCATCCTCTCTGCAAGCCTGTCCGGTTTTTTCTGATATCGTCTATAAAGTCCCTGCAGCCCCCTAGTACTACTGACAGCCCATCTCACGTGAGACCATGTGCTCCCCACAAATGCAGAATAATTTATCACTTAACTGTGCCGTTGCTTCACTCCCATCCCTTGTATCATCACTTCTATAAGGTCACGTTTCCAGCACTCTCAGAAAGACCACAAGTATGTAGCTACTTACCTAGATAACTGCTACAGTCCTTAGAGTCCAAAAATTCTATTCCTTTTTTTTTTTTTCCTCTCCCCGCAATCCTGAATAGTTTAGAGATTCTTCTCTAAACTTAAAAGACGTGCTTCATAACTGTGGCATTACACCCCCCATGTGCCAGTTTAAGCAACTGAGAAAGAAAAGATGCCTTTTATTCCTTTCTAATCCTTTCCTTTCCCTATATCTTCAGTTGCTCTGTAGACTGTTACACATCCCGCACCCTTTTAGAGACCTCTGGGAACTCGTAAGGTTCTTCTGCAAAGCCCCCATATACCCATTCCTCTGCAAATATTCCATAACTTTAGCGACATAATGAACTTGCTAAATTGGCTAATACATATATAGACTAAGACAGGAAGAAGTGCTGTCTTACATCCTTTGACAAATGCCACAGCAGTGCCCAGTCTGGCATGATCTTGACATCCGGTGGAAAGAAGTATCAGACTTCCTAACTAGCTTGTGTCCCCTGTGTGCTAATGAAGGATTGTCTTACTAACACCTAAGTAACCTTCAAAGACCCCAGACTGTCTCAGCACAAACGTGACAGCCGCTAAAATAAGTTTGCTGAAGTCTTCTCATAGCCCCTGATAACCTTCATAAACCGCTTTTAACCCTCTAGCTTTCTATATAGTGTGTCCACACTCTGGGAATATTGTGATTAAGGACTGTGTAAATTAGATGTGGTATTTAGCTAAAATAGCCTTTGTAGGACTATTTTGTATGGTAGCAAGCAATATGAATGCTCATTCAAGTAACTTGTTGGATTTATAATCTCTGTTTTGTGGTTACTTAGGACAATATTCTAAATACTGTGCTTTATAAATTAATGTATTTATTTGGTTTTAGTTTAGTTACAAAACATAGTATAATTTGCCAGGTATTCCACTGCATTTTATTAGTAATGCATCTGTCATAAAAAATGAAGTCACTTGTATTCAACAGCTAAACAGTGAATTGTGCATAGGAACTAAAACTGTATGCAGGTACATTTGTACAATTTTTCACGGGCTATGTGCACTGAATTGTCAAGTGCCCTGTTAATACTGTAAAAATATGCCTCCGATAAGATAAACTTGTAACACAGTTTAATTTTTTTAGGTATCTAAAGGAATTTAGGACAGAGCAGTGCCCCCTATTTTTGCAGCACAAGTGTGCCCAGCACAGACCATTTACCTGTTTTCATTGGCATTTCCTAAATCAGCGTCGTCGTAGACCTATACGAAGGCGTGATGGGACT